CCAACTTTGCAAGGACAGTCTGGCGCTTCTGACTCACAGCCTGTAAGTACGTTTTTTATATTTAAATAATTTGCCACTGATGATTCAAATGTGAGTTTTGAGCAGTGTATAGTAGCGCTTGTTCTCCGATCACAAATGCAGACATGGTTTTATGTTTACGCAGCGCGATACACGCAACGCATAAAAAGACATTATAAGTCATTATAATCAGTCATTATTTCCCCACTGGATGCAACAAATGCCTGGTCGAACCAGTTCACCAAATCGAACTGAATCGTTTGAAACGGTTCTGTTGTGTTCACTTGTGTTATCTTTTACTAATATTTAAATTTGTTTGATGATCTGAAACATTTAAGTGTGTTAAACATGCAAAAAAAATCAGGAAGGGGGCCAACACTTTTTCACACCACTGTATATGTATGGTCACACTTTATTTTAAGGTCCATTTCTCGCTAACTATGACTTTTGCCAGAAAGACACTGTACAAAATATTTAAACTCCACCTAGGCTTATATGATTATTTATCTGATCTTTTGTCTAGGAGCCGCCCTGCATGTTCATGACTTTGCTATGGTGGGTGTGGATTGGTTGGTAAAAAACGTGACCTACAGAGAGAACTGCTACGTGTGCTTCACAGATGAGCAGACCGTGCAGTTTATCTTCTCCTCTGGACAACCTGCGTCTCGTCCACGCTGCTCCTCATGGACTTTGCTCAGATCCCTCAGGGAGAAGATTAAAAACAGCACTGATTTGGACAACAGGTATATGCTGAAAAAATGGCAGTGAGTCTGAGACTGGAGGTGAGGGATGTTTGTCTCAAATGTTCATTTGCCTCCACAGTTTCAATCGAAATCTCACGCTTTTCACCGAGGACCCAGATAGAGCCTATCCTAGGCAAGAAATTGTGTGGAAGAGATTTGAGCAGGCATTCTTGGTGGCCTACGGGTTGGTCACCTATGCACCTGTGTTTAAAGACTACCTCTATGAAGGTCTCAGACAGTTTTACGAGGACAACATCATGTATGTGGAAATCAGGGCGCTGCTGCCAGCGGTATGGATGAATTTCCCCTTTAAAAAATTAAGAAAATCAATAAAAAATTGTGTGTACTGTAAATAAATACATATGTGCTAATTTTTATTATAATTTCAAGACATATGAACTTGATGGCAGATTAAATAACAAGGACTGGAGTATGAGGGCCTGCCAGGACGTTGTGAAAGGATTTACAGCAAACTTCCCAGACTTCCTAGGGGCTCGAGTGATTTTTACCGTCCACAGGTGAGAGAAACGTTGTAAATTAGAATAAATTATTGTTGTGATGCAAAGCTGAGTTTTCATCAGTCATTAATCCAGTCTTCAGTGTCACATGATCCTTCAGAAATCATTCTAATATGCTGATTTGGTGCTAAACAAACATTTCTTATCAATTTTGAAAACAGTTGTGCTTCTTAATATTTTTGTGGAAACCTTGATATATATATTTTTTTAGGATTCTTTGGTGAATACAAAGTTCAAAAGAACAGTGTTTATTTGAAATCGAAGTCTTTTGTAACATTAGAAATATTTGATTTGATTTCATTTCCTGTTGCTCTTAGGGGTATAAATGCAACTGAGGCGGTGAAGACAGTAGAGGAAGCAATGACACTACACAGGGACTTTCCAGATATCATGGCAGGCTTTGACTTTGTGAGTGTATGATGAGCATATTGCTGAAATACACAATTTGTAAATAAACTTTGAAGGAAACATTTGATTTTATAACTCCAGGTAGGACAGGAAGACCTTGGAAGACCTCTGTGGTACTTCAAGGACGCTTTGAGTCTACCTGAAGACAGGGGTGTTAACCTGCCCTACTTTTTCCATGCAGGAGAGACAGGTTTCTTTTGACATCTTGGTTCTTTCATCTGGTACAAAGCAGTGTAACTCAGAGTTGTCCTTTAGGCTCAAAAAGATTGAGTGCTTGTTCTTTTTTACGGGTGCTATAGTAAAATCTGGTAACTTCATTCGCTTTTCCCACACAGATTCACAGGGAACAGATGTCGATCAGAACCTCATGGATGCTCTTCTATTCAACACCACACGTATAGGTCACGGCTTTGCTTTGGCACGTCATCCTGTAGTTAAAGAGTTGTCTATAAAGATGGATGTACCAATTGAAGTCTGTCCAATCTCAAATCAGGTATATCATCACTCATTATGCCTTTAAAGTGGAAGAAAATGAATACTCCTGCTTTCCATGATTCAGTCAATTTCCAATGGATAAGTCCTGCCCTCCTTTTTAAATTTTTTTTTTTTATTAGGTATTCTGCTAAAATATGTCACATTTAATAGGTTCCAAACAGGACTTCATATTCATACTTACAGAAGTCTGTCCAATCTCAAATCAGGTATATCATCACTCATTATGCCTTTAAAGTGGAAGAAAATGAATACTCCTGCTTTCCATGATTCAGTCAATTTCCAATGGATAAGTCCTGCCCTCCTTTTGAAATTTTTTTTTTTATTAGGTATTCTGCTAAAATATGTCACATTTAATAGGTTCCAAACAGGACTTCATATTCATACTTACATAAAGGGTCAGTTCACCCAAAAATGAAAATTGTTATTAATTACTCACCCTCGTGCTGTTCGAAACCTGTAAGACCTTCATTCATCTTCGGAACACAATTTAAGATATTTTTAAATGGCGGCGGCGCCGGGGCTGACCCAGATCTGGCGTGATGACGTCATTACGCCGGATCTGGGTCAGCGCTGGCACCGCCACACGCTCGCGTCATGATACTGTCGTGAACGCGTGTCCAAAGTGACGCAGTAGAGACGAAAATGTGGAATAAAGTCATTATTTTAGTTTTCTTTGCACAAAAATATATTACGATATGAGTAAAAAGATATTCTCGTAGCTTCATAACTTTACAGTTGAACCACTGATGTCACACGGACTATTTGTCGATCATCTTGATACTTTTCTGTACCTTGAACGTGGTAGTTATCTTGCTGTCTATGGGAGGGTCAGGGAGCCCTCAGATTTCATCAAAAATATCTTAAAGGGGTCATATAATGTTGCTAAAAATAACATTATTTTGTGTATTTGGTGTAATGAAATGTGTTTATGTGGTTTAAGGTTAAAAAATTGTTTTCAAAACATTGTTTCTCCTCTATGCCCCGCCTTTCTGAAACGCGTCGATTTTTACAAAGCTCA